GGAGGGAGGGCCCGTGCATAGAGTGCGGGTCCCCCAGCCTCCCTGTGTCGGGGGCTCTGCGGCTCTTCTGTCCCAGCGCTGCCTCCCTTCAGCAGCCGTGCCGCCCCGCCTTAGTGGGACAGCGAGTTCCCTGCAGGTTTCCAGCGGGTCACCATCTCCCCTTGGCCTTTCTCACCGCCTTTCCGAGCAGTGACGCGAGCCTCCCAGCAAGGTCTGTTCCCTGCTGCCGCCCTGCTCGCCCCTCCAGCGCGTTCCCTGAGCCTTTCCCTTCCCAAGGCAGGGATGACACGGGCTTTTCTGCCGCGGCTGACGTGACAATGACATGACGCAACCTCCGTCAATGATCACAGGCTCACTCCGTGCCGTGCCGGTCCGTCTGTCCCCTGGCCTCTCTGCCAGCAGTCCCAGAGCTTCTCTCCTCTGTCAGCATCTGTCCCTGGGCGAGCGACAGCCCTGCCACGGCTGGTCTGGTGTGCTTGGGAGAGCAAGGTCCCTCTGCTCGCGGGGCAGAGCGGGTAGCTGGGGCCAAGGCAGGAACCACTGCCCTCCCCACACAATGGTGCTGCAAATAGATCAGAGAGGTTGGAGCGTGGCTCAGGGCTCGAGAGGAGTGTGGCTGTGCAGGCAGGACAGATGCAGGGGGCTTTTCCAGCAAGGTTTGCTTGTCCTTGATGGGGGCGGGCAGGCAGGGGGGCAGAGCACGGGCCGGCGCATGGACTTTGAGAAATTGAGCTGCTGCTCTTGGGTAACGAGCTGTGACTGTGCCGGGCAAGGCAGGGCTGCTCCCGGTCACCCAGCGTGGCTGGCACTGCTCCGAGGGGAAGCAGGGGACCTCTGGGATGGGGAGGCCAGCGCTCCCCGGTTTTCTTGCCAGCTCTGCCCCAAAACCCCTCCGGGCCTTGGTTCCTGTCCTGTCACATAAGCTCTGTCCTTTCCTCCGCAAACACCGTGTGGCACAGACCGTCCCCGAGGGCTCGTTCATGCAAGGCCGCCCCGGGGATGCTCCAGCCAATCCGTCCTGCCGGCAGCTGCCAGTGTTGGGAGCCGGATTATTTATTCTCCCCCAGTTGAATCAGTCCCTCTGCCCACGCTGGCAGGGTGTCACCCACCGCCTGGTGCCCGAGCTGTCGTGACGAGGGGGGATTTGCATCTGCACTGGGGCCCGAGAACGGCTGGGGCGTCTGCGCCTGGATGGTGACCAGATTTGGGGATCTGTGGGCTAGTTCGTGAGATTTTCTCTTCTCTGCCTGTCTCGTCCCTTCCTTTCAAATTGCTCCTCGAATTGCCGGTGAACCAGCAGTGGTAATCTCGCTAATGGATATTTTCATAAGAAGCAGCAAACATCTTGTCTTTAGGGAGGGAGCAAGAGTAAAATGATGGTTTGTTACAGCAAAGTGTTGGCAAAGAGCAGCTTCGGGGCCAGCCCGGGACTGCTGGCAGAGCAGCTTCTCGACCGAGTATTCAGTGGAGCCTTTGCTTTGCCAGCGGGATCCAGCCTTGGATCCTGGGAGGGTCAGGCTTCGGAGCAGGCTCTGGTCTAGCTGGAGGGGGAGATGATGGCGAGGGAGCCCTCGTCTGCATCAGAGGTGCTTTTGTCCATCTCCTCTGCAGAGATTAAAAGCCTCAGGCGGCTCTGAGCCCCTCCGGGCCCCCCCCCCCGGCTCCCTCA